TTACCAACCGCAAAGGTAGGGCTTTCCCAATTAACCCCGGGGGGAAAAAGCCCCCCAGAAACAAGGGGGGGGGGGGGGGGAAGGTGGCTGTTGTGCGACTCCAGCTCCTACCCAGGATTGGAGTCACAGTTGCAGCTGCTGCCTGCTTCTCCACCTCTCCCAGACACCTCTGCGCTGCACCATCTCCCCCGTGCAGCTGCTTCCAATCTCCTCCACCCCAAGCAGCCTTTGCTTCTCTGCTTGCCCATCTCCCCCTGCCCCTCTTGCCCTTGGTCTGCACCAGCAGGCTCAATGCAACCTGTAGCTTCAATACAACTTGTAGCCTCAAAATAACCTGTAGCCTGGGACACTGAATATGGCCCCAGCCCTAACAGAAGTGCATAGCCCACATAATTGCTACAGGGGGCTTGGTTGGGTCCATGCTCAGTGTAGGCTAGAACAGGGACACAGCCTGCTGGTATGGAGCAAAGGCTAGGGAAGGAAAGCAGGAAACAGAGGCTGGGGGAAGGTGAGGGACTGGGGGGAGGGCACAAGAAGGGACTAAACTGCTTGACCTCTTCGTACCACCTGCCACCCCCCTGCAGCAGTGGGAGGAATGAATTAAAAGGTAACTCTCCAGTAATTAAATTCTATACATGGAAAATTATAACAAAAACTTATAACACTTTCCATGTATAGAACCTAATTATTGGGGGCTCATATTTAATTCAGAGTCATTTTAGATTCAAGTAGATATGGTACATTTCAATGTTGGGGTTTTTTTTTTTTTTTTTTTTTACTACAACTGTCCTCACTGATGTCAACAATAAGACTGACTATACCCAATTCATTGTTGCTAAAAGCAAATTGGGATGCATGATTGATTTTCTACACCTTTCTGCATTTGGTATTGTTACTTGCAGAAGTACTTTAAAATGTTTACATATACCTGTCATATTTACATGCAATTAAGTCGCATTTTGGGATAGTTTATCATAGGAAGTCTAGCTTTGATCAAATACCTGTTAGGGCATAAAAGGAAAGGAGACAAGAACATTAGGGACCCAAGTTAGAATTGTAGAAGGCTAGAAAAACCCCCATCCCAACTGCCATCCTGGGGAATAAGCTATGGCAGAGCAGACTGGGAATTCCTTGACTAAGCCACCTACGTAATTAGAAACTATTCTCAAATGGGATGTAACAATTTGCAGCACTTGCAGCAGGGCAAGATTAAATGATTAAACAGAAGGCTCAGCACAGAGCAGTTTCTTCAAATGATAGTTTCTCTTTTCAACCATGTCAGGAGAAAGATGATGCTTTCCACATGTTTTTAATATATTAAAATGTTTAATTACTAATTATGATCCAGGAGTGTTCTTAGCTTATCTTCTAATGACAGTCATTTTAAGAAAACTTTGGCTGAGGCATGATTTTTGGGCAGCCTAACGGTATTTAAAATTGAGAGATTTAAAATGGTTTCAATGAAGCAAATAGATCAGGATACATTTTGATCTACAGGCTTGGATGATGTTGCAATATTAAGCAGATGTCCTTTAGTTGCAGCAAGCTAATTATAGCCCCCTTTTGTCAAACTGTCTTCACTTTCTGGAAGCCATGTACAAAACCTATTGTTAGAAAAATTCTTCTGTTCAATGAGCTGACTAGAAATGTGTTGTACACATTTATTTTTTATATTTGAGTTGTAGTGGAATAATTCTTCCAAGCTATAGAAAACGCAGTCTAAGCCACATAGAATGGATCTTTGAAGCATTTTTTGACTGCCAAACATGTGGGGTAGGCAGCTAATCCTTCTTCCCCATCTTGACTACTATTATTACTGTGGTATTAGCAGTTCTGAAACTCATTGGGATGCAATTTCATAGTTGCTATTAGAGGCAAAGCCTGAGTAATGCCCGTTACATTATTCCTCTGAGTTATAATGTAACATGCTTCATGAGGTACAAAAAGGTAAGTAGCAGGTGGGTTCCCCCACAATTTATCAGGCACGCTAAAAATTGGCCCAAGTTGTGACTTCAATAGTAAAATAAATGGGATTTGGCAAACAGCTAGTGCCATTTCAGAATTTAAATGGCTCCTTTTCTCACCCATGGGTGGCTTATATGGTACTGTCTTTAACCTTACCTTGAATTCTTTGACGCCAGTGTATATACTGAGAGGGGCCATGTCATTTTCTCCATTGGGTCTAGAGTCAGTTACAATCTCTATTACTTGCTCCAAAGCTAGTCTCATTCGATGAAATACTCCTTCTTTGTTTACACGAGCAGATTCACAGTCAGGATGTCTCAGACATGTCTTTAAAAGCAAATTTAACATTATCCAAAAGTGTGCATGTGAAGTATAATGAAGCAAGCATTGATTGCTATATCCACCCTTATGCAAAATGGTAAACATCTTCAAATTCTTTCAATTAACCTACTAATACTTTTTATACTTTTTTTTTTTTTTAGCATTACTTAGGAAAGAGACTCTCCATAGCTTCATTTTATGTTCAAATATCTTTTGCTGCAAGCTTTAGAAATGTAGCTAGGGAAAAGGGTTACTTATCTTGGCAACTACCACAATTTATTCTTTATCAGAGGTAAAGAAAAAAAAGGAGAGAGAAAGTACCTACCTTTGAAGCAGTAAGCAGCATCATGGTACATTTTTCAAGAACTGCCCTAGATGCTGCCATTCTGGCCTTTTTCTTTTCATCCTTCAAATCCTAAAGAAAATGAAAGCATTGAATATTCTCAGGACAGTAGCTGAAATTTTAACCACTGGCAAAAAAAGAAAAGGACTGGCACAGGGAAAAATACCTTGCTTTTTTGGCTTCTTTATGTCTACATTCTGAAAGATCAATCTTATCAGAGAACTTACTGGGGAAGCACTAAGGTCCCGGAGGGGAGGGGAGCCAGGTGTCCAAGAACAGTAGTTGCTCCTTGAGGAGACTATCCTCTAAGCCCAAAGGGAGGTAATGCCAACACAGATCAAAAGGGAGCAGAAGGGTGCAAAAGCCCCCATGGCTCACCAAAAGCATCCAGGAGTGTCTTCTAGCTAAAGGGAGCCATACACCCAATGGAAGGGAGGGGCCATCACCAGGGAGGACTATACTGCAGTTGCTCGGGGCTGCAGTGGAGCAGTCAGGAAGGCCAAGGTGGAGATGGAGCTGGGACTAGCTTCCCGGATCAAGGACAACAAGAAGTCCTTTTTTAAATACATAGGGGGCAAAAAGAAGATACTGGGTAACGTGGGGCCCCTGCAAGACACGGTAGGAAATCTGGTCATCACACCAGATGACAAAGTAACCTATTTAACGACTTCTTTGCCTCCATTTTCCTAAGTAGGGACCAGATCAGCCCCCCCACGAAGCCTCCCTCAGGCCCCAAGGGAGGCGCACCTAGGCCAAGGGTCCGTGAGAATCTAGTCAGGGCACTTCTGGAGGGACTGGATATATTTAAATCAGCTGGTCCTGACAATCTCCACCCCAGAGTGCTGAGGGAATTAGCTGAGGTCATTGCGAGACCCCTGGCGCGGCTGTACGAGCACTCATGGTGCTCTGGTGTGGTGCCAGAGGACTGGAAAAGGGCCAATGTGGTTCCCATCTTCAAAAAGGGGAAGAAGGAGGACCTGGGGAACTATAGGCCAGTTAGTCTTACCTCGATCCTGGGTAAGCTTTTTGAGAAAATTATTCTGGCACATGTCCACAAGGGGCTAGCAGGGGATTTCATGCTTAGGGGCAACCAACACGGGTTCATTAGAGACAGGTCCTGTCAGACCAACCTGGTGGCCTTCTACGACCAGATCACCAAATCCTTAGATGCAGGGGTAGCGGTGGACATAGTCTTCCTGGACTTTCGGAAGGCCTTCGACACTGTCTTCCACCCCATTCTCATTAAGAAACTGGGGGACTGTGGTGTTGACACCGACACAGTTAAATGGGTCACCCACTGGCTGGAGGGCAGCACCCAGAGAGCGATAGTGGACAGGTCATTTTTGACCTGGAGGGATGCA